TAGGATAGCTAACTGAGGAAATGCCTGCTCGGTCATAACTGTATAACCCGGCCTGAGCGACCAAAGCTGCTAATCTGTTCCCTGGGATGGGGGGCAGGGAGGGCTGAAGAAGGAACTGTCTATATTGTTACATTTACTGCTCACATGTGTGCAGTGTCATGCGGGTGAACTTGATCCTTTTACTAAGGTTTTAGACATTCTTGTTATTCCTCTAACATGCTAGTTTTGCAGCTCAGTAACTCATCACATCTTACCCGTGGAAGGAAGTACTTTGCTTGTAACGCCCGAGCACATAAGATATCGTACTGAAGTGCTTCTAATTCTGTTTGAAATCCCAAGCAGGAAAAGAATGTGGCTATTGAAAAGCAAAAGACATCCCTAATTTAAACCAGTGGTCCCCACACTTTTCAGTCATGCCCCCCCTTACCCCGTCTGGGTATGGACAGGGGTAAGGGATAGGGTTGCCAAGTTTGGTTGGATGTATGCTTGGTGATATAATCACAACACAATCTTTAATTAAAAATGAAGCTTCAATTCCTGGAGACTCCAGGCCAGTGCCAGGGGATTGGCAACCCTAGTAAGAGGGCTGAAGCTGAGGGGCCCTATCTGGGGCTGGGAGCAGAGTTGCATCAACGGGTCAAGGCTGGGGGGTGGGACTAGGCCAGGAAGGCAGCTGCAGCTGGGTGCAGGGCCAGAAGCCGAAGCCATGGCCAGGGAGGCAGACGGGGCTGGCTGGCACTCCCTACCTGCCCTCCCCATGTGGGCTAGCTTGGGCCCGGTCACACCCCACAGTTTAAGGGCTTCTGATTGAAACAGACTGTCACCGCCGCTGTTAAATGTGGCCTTAAAGGGACAGTATCAAGTCAAAATGGGACCCACAGGCTTACCAGTTAAACGTTTACATCTGTAGTTGGCATGGAAACAGATACAGGCTAGAGCAGGCTGACCCTGGGGGGACTGGTAATTGCCTCCGTGAGTGACCCATCCTACTTTAGCTGAGGGCTGACTCATCCGGCGGAAGCCCAGAGGGAAGAGGCTCAGGGCCACGGGTGGGTTATTAAACTATCTCTTTCATTGTACTGCACTGAGGAAGAAAAAGGGCAATGCACCCAAGAGGAAAGACCACTGAGGCATTTTCCTCCAGGTTTTAGCTGGACACTGCAAGTAAAAATGCTTTTGTGAGCAACCGGCAGCAATAGGGAAGTGCAATGAACTAGGGATGTGAAGGACCAGTCGACTAGTCAACTATCCAATAAGCAAATGCTTATCAGATAGTCAAGTCGACTAGACGCTTCCCCACCCCCTTGCTGCCTCTATCAGAAAGGGGCCTCAAGGAGCAGGGGAGGAGGAGGGGGTACATTTCAAAGCGGCAGTGCGGCGTGGAGCCCAGGCTCAGCGGGGGAGTGATTCCAGGCTCCATGCTGCACAGCCACTTCGAAATGCAGTGAGGAGCCTGACACCGCAGCGTTTCAAAGTGGCAGCACCGCAGGGAGCCCGGGGCCAGTGGGGGAGTCCCCAGCTGACCCCGGGCTCCATGCGGCACTTTTGAAGTGTAACAACAGCCCTAGAGCTGTTGCTACATTTCAACGGCAGAAGCACCCTATCGACTAATCAAATAGATGATGCAAAAATGTATTGACTATTCGATTCGAAAATGACTTGCAATTTAACATCCCTTCAATGAACACAAAGTGAGTGAGCCCAAAGGACAAGACTGAGTGTTGAAGACACCCAGAGGCAAACTGTCTCCTTTCCTGAGATAACAGAGGCTGAAGCTCTCTTCTGCAGGGGTTGGGGGAATGCTTACTGCAGAAACCCATGGGCAGGTCCCCTGTAAACATTTCATTCCTTTGGAGCAAGGAGTTCACTTATAAAGGGCTCACTTTATAAACTGCTCTTACCCAATAACATCTCCAGTTCACTCAGTTTGGTTTTAATCAACACCTCAGCGATGCCATCTGCTTTCCCAACTGGGCTGGAAGTTTCATGAGAAGAGGTTTTTAGTGCTGCCTGCTCATAGTCTAGCCTCATCAGCTATTTTGGCACTTGCACGAAGGGAAAGTAAAAAGGCGGAGGAGTCTGAACCTCCAGGAAGGTCAAGGTCTGGAGGGAGAGGAAGTTATTTCATCCAAACTAGTTTTTACAGAGAGCTGGTTTGCTCTAGCATCAGCTAGCTTAGCCAAGAAACCCTCTGCTTTAGGAGATCCAAATATACAGAGAGCGCCATCGTGCGTGAAGAGTTTTTATGCAAGAAAACAGCCCAAGTAGGAACACAGGTGCCTTGGACAGATGGGGTGTTAATAAGGGGAGTTACGCCGGGAGTTCCCCTAGAATTTTAGTTCTGCCTTAGTTATGGGATTTTCCATACACAGAATCTTTTAGATGAAGGGGGAGCCAGGTTGCCTCTTGAAGTCGCTCAACAAATGTTTTCGTTTCAGACGTATGCTGTGGGGCACCAGTCTGGCATTACTCTCACAGCTCCATTATGCTGCCTGTAACTACAGCTCTGAAAGCCGCCCTCTTCCTGTGTTAGAGAGCGCTCATCACAGTCACTAGTGGTAAAAGGGCCCTCTTCCACCCTGCCAGATCCTCGGTGGCTCCAGGTCATTTTACTGCTCTGTTCCATTAGGACGGCCGGCACGTGTGCGTGGGCAACTTCATCTGGGAGGAAGAAAGAGGAAGAAAGACTCAGAAAACACACAGGGCACATCTACACAACAGGGCAAATGTCGAATTAAGCTACGCAACTTGAGCTACATAAATTGCATAACTGAAGTTGAAATAGCTTAATTCGGCTTTTGGCACGGTCTACACACCAGGAAGTCAAAGGCAGAATACTCTCCCTTCAACTTCTCTTACTCCTCGTGAAATGAGGGTTACAGGAGTCGGAGTAAGACATCCACCAGCTCGACATTATTTCGAATAACAGCTTGCTGTGTAGACGCCCACTATGTTATTCCGAAATAACATCCGTTATTCCGAAATAATGCTGCTGTGTAGACGTACCCTGAGTGACAGGGATCTTTACCCTGGGCTGTGTCTAGATGCATCCCTTTTCTGTAAAAGGGATGCAAATTAGACACATCCCAATTGCAAATGAAGCGGGGGGGATTTAAATCTGCCCCGCTTCATTTGCACAAACATGGTTTCCACTTTTTTCCAGCTCGGAGCTTTGCAAAGTGGAAAAAAGCGGCAGCCATGTTTATGCAAATGAAGCGGGGGGATTTAAATCCCCGCTTCATTTGCAATTGCAACGTGTCTAATTTGCATCCCTTTTACGGAAAAGGGATGCAGTCTAGACACAGCCCTGGAGCAACAGCTAAAGCAAGTCTTCAGTGCAGTTTCCACACCTGCATGTGTCAAGGCAGCTTTGCCTGTGGCCAGCACACCGACACTAGGAACACAAGAGCACAGAACAGTCTTCTCACATGCCCTGGCTGGGGCAGACCACCTGGAGGCTTTCCCATCCCCTTGGAGCACAGGGGATAGACTTACTTTTTCACCTGGGAGCCACTTTCTCCAGGGCAGCCTGCAGAGATTTCCGGAGCGCAGTGTGGTTGAGATCCAGCGCGCCAGATATATGGCTCCGGTGGGCCGGCGTAATCTGGAGAGGAGGAGGAAACAGAAGCTGTTTAGGCTACACTGGTCTTCGGTTCAAAGGAACGGTGGCTGGGACGAATTGGTTCCCTTCTCATCCACAACCGAGGTGCACTGAGCTACCTGGCATGAATAGCCTGAATCTGGGAGCCTAACTAGAGCCGCTCGGGGCCTGATTTTCAGAGGCGATTTTGAAATCCCTGGCAATGCTCACGGATTTCCATTGGAGCTGGGAGGGGTGGTGTTGTTCTGCCGCACCTTTTCTGCATGAAATGCTCAATGCCTCTGAAAAATCAGGCCCTACGTCTCTGGCAGAGCTCCCCAAAACAACACCACTCAAAAGCAGTGGCCATGTTTGAAAATGTCCTCGCCAGGCCCCTAAAGCAGAGAGGAGGGGTTTTAAAGGTCTTGGCCCACAGGAGATCTGTGGTCTCTAAGCCTTTTAACCACAAGATCACTTTCAATTTCAGTGCAATGTCAGATCTCCCTCAAACCCAAATCCCCTTGCCCGGCCTCCTTCCCCCCTTCTCTGAGACCCTGCCCCTCACCCCTTCTCCCAGGCCTCACCCTGTTCACTCCATCCCCCTTCCTCCCCAAATTTCATTTGTTTTCACCCGGCTGAGGCTGAGGCTTGGGGGCAGAGTGGGAGTGCAGGCTCTGGTCTTGAGGAGCCCAAGGTGGTGAGTTCAAGTCCCTCCACCCACCCTGGGAGCAGCTGGACAGCCAACACAGTCTGTCCCAGTGATGGAGCTGGCACCTACATCTGGAAAGCAGGATAAGGGATGCCCTGAAGGCAGGAAGGTGGGATGGATTCTAGAGTGGCTTAAGGAATAGGGCATTTGCCTGGGGAGCACAGGGTGGTGGGTTTGAGTCTCATCCCCCCTCAGCAGCCCAAGCCCCACCTCTGCCCACCCTGGAAGTGACCAGGCAGCCAACACAGGATAAGGGACCTGCTTGAAAGTAGGGAGGTGGGCTGGACTAGGGCATAGGGCAGCAGTGGTGACCTACCAGTAGCTCTTGGAACATCTAACAGGTATGGCTGGGAAGGTACCAAGTGCTGGCATTTCAGTTACCCCTTCACCCACTGTCATGCTGCTGCTCCTGCTCTCTGGCTTGGAGCGCTGTGCAGGATGTGGGAGGGAGAAGAGCTGGTGTCAGGGTGTCCATCCTCCCCTCCCCCTACTCCTGCACCCTGTCTCTCCACACAGAGAGAAGGGGATGGAGGGACCTTGGCAATGCAAATCTGTCACTCTCTCACACACACACACACACACACACACTGTCCTTCCCTCTCAGCTCCTGACCATACACGTGGGGTTGTTGGTGCTGGGTTCTTCTTGGTCTTTGACGGGTCTGTGCATTTCATTACTTTCATTTCTCTCGTATGCTCACATTTAATTCTCACATTTAATTCTTTGAGCAGTGAGTTCTAAAATGCCTGACCTGTCATGTCTGCAGTAATTATTCGTGTGGTCATTGTGCTCCTGGAAGGACTGGCATGTCCCTGCAGCCCCTGAGAGAGGCAGAGCAGGGGGTCTCCACATGCTGTCCTTGCCTGAGGACCCCACTCCTACGGCTCCCATTGATCAGTAATGGGGAACTGTGGCCAGCAGAGGCTGTGAGGTTGGTGCCTGTAGATCAGGGGGCCACTGCTGTACATGCCAGCTGCTTTCAGGAGTGGTACAGGGCCAGGGCAGAAGCAAGCCTGCCTTAACCCCACTGCTCCCATTCCTGGGATGGCTGTCTGGCTGCTCCCAGGATGGCTGGTACTTGAACCTCCCATCCCACATCCTGCACAGCGAGCAGTCGGCTCCCCAGGGGCAGCTCCAAGCCAGAGGGCAGGAGCAGCAGGACAGTGGGTGGAGGGGCACCTGAAGTGCCGGGACTTGGTAGA